TGGGGGCCTAAAGAGGTGGATCATAAGGTCAAAAGATCAGGACCATCCTGGCCAATCGTGAAACACCATCTCTACTAAAAAAATGAAAACTAGCTGGGCATGATGGTGAATGCCTGTAATCCCAGCTTCTTGGGAGACTGAGACAGGAGAATCGCTTGAACCAGGGAGTCAGAGGTTGCAGTGAGCTGAGATTGTGCCACTGCACTCCAGCCTGGTGACAGAGAAAGACCCTGGCTCAAAACAAAAAAAAAGAAGAAAAAAAAGAAAAGAAAATAAATTTGTCAGAATAGTGGAGGGAAGCATTTTAGATATTAGGAAGACATTGTACACTAGTAAAGACATTAGTAGTAATTTTGCAAATCATTTATAAGGTACTATTCTTGCAGAAAACAGGAGGTAGGAGAGACCCAGTGGGTGAAACAGGAGGATTTTATTTAGGTGCACAGCAGCTCAGCAGATTTGCTTCCAACAAGTGAGTCCTGAACAAAGGCAGAGCTTGGCTTATAAAGGCAAGCTTACAGAAGCAGAACAAAGGTGGTTAATCATATAGTGACAGTTTTGCAACCTCAGCATAGCTTGTGACTTTGCAACTACATTGAAGGAAAACAGGAATTTGCAAAATATATGCATTTGTAAAAATAGCTATGAGTAAATGCTGCGGGGAAGGGAGGATGGTAAATGAGTTTGTTTTCTTAACCTTGCTCTGGGATGTCTGGACCCATACCTGTGGGCTCTGGCTTCTTGGACAGGGTCAACACGACCTTACCTGGGCCCTGCCTGTTACTATCCTTAGAGTTCGAGTAGCTAAGTGCAGGAAAACTTGTTTCTCTTTAAAACTAAATTTCCTTCTCATTACATTTTCTGCTTCATGATTGAGAAGTGGAGAACAACACACTGTGTTACCTTATATGTTTCTACTGTGTTTTAAAGTTGTGTTTCTGGTGGTTTTGTTCATTTATGTTGGGTGGATGAATTTGTGAGTGAATGTTACAAGGTGTCTCCCCAAGTGGTTTGTTGAAGTCTTAGAGAATGATTTCCTAAGTAACTATTTCATGAAACACTAAACACTCAATTTATAAGGTAAAATAAAATGTTGTCTTAAATCTATTTTTATAAAGGCAATAGTTTTTAACTGTTCTAAGTGGTTCATTTTAACTGAATATATGGATTTCTCAACAGAACAAGACTTAAAGCTGACATCAGAGGAGGAGTCACAAAGGCTTAAAGGCAGTGAAAATAGCCAGCCAGAGGCATGGAGAATTTTAAATTTAAATTTTTGATTTAATGTTATTTTCTTTGCTTTAGTAATATTAGATAGTTCAAAGGAAATTACCTTTCAGACTAGGTTTTGAGAATCAATAGATTCTTTTTTCTAAGAACTTTTTAATAGAATCTTAAAATTTAATAAATTCACAGTCTCATTAACAGAAGAATCAATAGATTCTAATTTAGCATTTGAAATTTAACTTAAAAACATAACCACTATAAAATTTAAAATACTCTTATTTTACAATATTCTTATTTGAAATATTTTTATCTACCTTTTTGATTAGCTTATAGGTAATCTTTCCTTTTGGAATAGAGGCAAAAGAAATTCCAGAACTTTGTTCTTTTATTCTTACAACACCCTGACGTGATAAAGAAAGTAACATCAATTATTGGGTTATATTATTAAGCAATGGAATTGTGAACAGTGTAACACTGATGGTCCCTGACCTGGATTCATGGTTAAAGAGTAATCATGGCCAGTGCTTGAAAATCTGCAGTTTTATATTGCAGTCACTGATAGCAAGGTTAAAGATATATTCTGCCTTGTGGTCTTTCACTGACCTCAGCGTTTCTCTTCAGGGAGGGAACCAGGTCATAAAAGCAACCCAAATGCCTATTACAAGAATCATATCTTGCAGAGTGGGACCTTTGGTATTAGTACAGAAACACAATAACATTCGAACTTACTTCAGTCGCAGAAAATCAGTACAGATTATTAAAATTTTTATCCACTGTAATTAGTACACATTAGAATGTATTAGAACTGGACTTAAGGAGATCATCTAGATACATAACACTATCATATTACAACATGTAATTTCAATTAACATTTAAGAATTTGCATTTCTTTCTGTTTGATGTTGATTTCAGCTCCTAATAATTGAAAGTGTGCCTACAATCCAGTTAGTAATCTGTAGAGGCTCACTGGTTAGGGTTTGGTGGGGTAAACTCTTTTCAAGTGAGGAAGATTTTGCAACACTACAAAATCATCTGCTGATGCATTTTTGGTAGATTTAACACAGAACAAATTAAGTTTAGTCCAAACAAATGGTGACAAAGTTAAGTTTGCTGGTTCATGTTTTTCTTCTCCCTTTGATTAAGGTGAAGTATTTTTCACATGTTAGTCAGAAGCCAGTGATGTGGTAGTAGCTGAACGTAGACTAAAAATTTAATTCTTAATTTTAATTATTTATTTACTTAACTATTTTGACAGTTAAATTTTAATTTTAGTTATTTTCTAATTTTTCTTTGTCCATACTTGATTACTTAAAATAAAATTATTTTAAAAACATGCATTCCAAGAGAGGAGACATCACAGAAATACAACAAGCAAATTAACCTTCTA